AACTGCCAGGCATAGAAATTTTTTCTATCTCTGCATTTGGGTGACAGACTTATTTGGGGTTACATTTTTGCTCTTCCATCGTGCACATATTCCACTCACCCTCCACCAAGCCACCAGGGCCAGCACCTCATTGGTCCCTCCCCTGCCCCTCCCTTCCTCCCTGGTAACCATTAAAGCAAAAGGAAAGCTGGAGGGAAAAAAAAAAGTTTGACCTCAGCTACATGACATAAACAAGACTTAAATTCCTCAGGCAGATTTCTCATCTCACAACCACCACACTTCCAAATAAAGAGCCCAAACGCTTGGAATATTAAACAATCACCACGTTCCCTGGGTCACTCCTTTTCCCACTGCCTTCATCGGAGCCCAGCCCAGCCCAGCCAACGGGACTGGACAGGACATCCTTCCATCCCGGGCCCATCACAGACACACTCAGCCCAGGACAACTGAACACCAGTGACTCACTGCACGTCTTTGAGACATGGGAAGAAAACATGCAGTCACCACAGACAGTGGCCCTGGCGGGGAACTAACTCCTTCTCCCTCACGTTAGAACGAAATGACTTGTATGAAATGAAGTTATTGGGGACCTGCTTTAGAAGGTCTTTTAGTGCTGTTAGTGTGCAGGTGAGGGGTGTCCCAGGGCCCCCAATACTGCCCGCTCGAAATGGATTCTGCCATCCACCATATAAATACAAAACACATTCTATGAAAACTTTCATAGAAAAGAACTTTAATGGAATGGGTGTGCAATAAAGAGAAGAGAAACAATATAGCTAAAGTAGTTTGCAATGAAACACCAGAGTTAGCCACCCCCTGGTGGATAAATGCCCAATTAAACTTTTATTTTCAAAGCAGGGCCCCGGAGATCCCAAAGCTGCCACAAATCTAAGGTCCCTCTGGGAGGACCCACAGTGAAGGGGTGGAGGGGCCCAGGCAAGTCTGAAAGGGAAAGAGCAAAATCCAAACACAAGTCACACGATGGCTGCCTCTCCAGCCTCCCACGGGACCGTCACCCACGGCTCTCTAAAGTGTGTCCTCCCACGTCCCCAAGTCCCGGTGCACGACATGCAGGTAGTAAGATAAGCACCCAGCTGATTTCTACCCCTGGTGACCCCTGAACCCTGATAACGGAACACACACACACACACACACACACACACACACACACCCCGGGTGCCTGAAGCAGCCACAGCAGAAGCCCACGAAGAGCAAGATGTGAAAGCGCAGCGTTAGTGA